TCGGGGCGGGGAGAGGGCAAAGCCAGACCCCACGGGCCGTTGGCCTGGGATGGGGTTGGCTTTGCCAGGCGAGGAGAGAGCGCCGGGCACTCGAGTGTCCCTGCACGTTCTGTGCCCTCTGGAGCTGGTGCCAATCTTCTTGGCTCTCTCCTCCAACACCCACCGAGCCAACTTTGTTCCTTCTACCATCCCTCTGTGATGGAATCACCATGGCCACCCACCACCACCACGGACCTAACTGGAACCACTGGGTGGGAATTAACTCATTTTGAAGTATAGAGGCAGACATATGAGAAACCTCTCTCTCTCTCTCTCCGATCATATTCATCTCTCATCTGTCTGTCTATCTCTTATCTATCTATCTACCATTTTTCTTGCATTGCATGCCTTTTGTCTTTCTTATTATTGCTTTCTGTCTCTGTCTCTGTTTTACTAAATAAATAAAGGAAAAAGAGCAGGCAGGGCTATATACGCATTTGAAATGAATTATTAGTAACTTTAACCTCATTATGGTCACTAAAGGAATCCATAGGGATTGGGGGGGGGGGTAAAAAAAACCCTGATGCCAGCCTCGACCTGCAATCAAAGCCCTAAATGCATATCGCTGAGGCGGCCATGTGACCTTTTTGACCCCCCAAGGATGCCTCTGACAGTCATGGACCAACATTAGTACATATTTGCTGGACTTCTGCCCAGCCCCTGAGGGGGTCTCCACGGCACGCCTTCTTCTGATTTTCCCCACTGTAACAACTTTGTGTGATGGGCCGGGCTGGGAGACCCAACCTTTATTTTAACCCATCCTCAGAATTCGAGCCTCCATGTTGCCCATCGATTTAATCACTCGCTTAATCCCTTTCCATGGTTTTCTTTTCCTAGATATGCATAAACCGATCATGTGTTGACATGACAATTCTGAATTATGATTGTGATTTTTCAAAATGTAACAACCAGGGGGTAAGTAACAAAGAGCTGAACCCAAGACCAGGTTGGGGTACTAGAAAGCTCGTTGGTGGCCGTTTTAAGCTAACCTTTCCAGCTTGAAAGGAAACTGCCAAAGAACATATTTAAAAACCACATTTGGGGCCCTTGCTCCTAAACATGACACACACGTGGCCAGGCAACCTCTTTTTCCCGTGACGTGGCCTTCCTCCTTAACTGTCTGGTGTTCAAGCAATTAAGCCATGCGAAGTCATTTTTGAAGAGCTGGTCCCATAAATTAAAACAGCAACAATAATATCAGTAACAATAACCGTAATATATGCACCGTTCCAAGCTTTGTACAGCATTTGATGAGTTTAGATTCTGTCCATTCCTGTTGCATCCACGTGCTTTTACAAAAAGCTGCATTACGTGGAACAATGCAGATATTATGACAATAGCTTTATCCTAGATCAGGATTTCTCAACCTTGGCAGCTTTAAGATGGGTGGACTTCCAACTCCCAGAGTTCCCCAGCCAGCATGGCTGGCTGGGG